TAGGGCCGGGCCGGAGGCCAGGGACCGCGCGGCGGGACGGCGGAGGGAGGGAAATTCGCGCGGGGGCGGCTCGAGAGGGGCGAGGGCAGCAGGGCGGGCTTGCGGGGCGCCCGGTGGCGGCGTTTGTCCCTGGGGCACCTACAGCGCGGGGAGCGTTTTTCAGATGTAGAATCATAGAATCATAGAATCATTGGGGTTGGAAAAGACCTCTAAGATCATCGAGTCCAACCGTCGACCCAACACCACCATGTCCACTAGACCATGTCCCCAAGTGCCTCATCTACTCGTCTTTTCAATACCTCCAGGGATGGGGACTCCACCACTTCCCTGGGCAGCCTCTTCCAATGTTTAACCACTCTTTCAGTAAAGAAATTTTTCCTCACGTCCAATCTAAACCTCCCCTGGCGCAACTTGAGGCCGTTTCCTCTTGTCCTAGAGTAATCGCAGGATAGCCAGGCAAAGGGACAACCAGCTCTGAAGGGACGCGCTCCGTTACATGTGAATAATGCTTGTACTGAGGGGAGGAAAAAAACAATCAACCAAAAACCCCCAGAACAAAAACAAACAAAAATGCCCCACCAAAGAACATCCCCCCTCCCCCAACCGGGGGGGAAGGTGCAGTATATGGACTAGAAATATTTGATCCGTCTAGTCTTGGACAGGTGGAAAAACTCTAATGATTGTGAATTAACTACTTTGGAAAGTTTCCCAACAGCACAGGCTTGGAATCAGATGCCTGCGGCCGTGCCATGCCAGGAGAAGCTGTCCTTTCCCGAGAGCCGCTCGCGACGGGGGGTAAGGCAGCTCCTACACCCACCACGCACCTAGATGCCATCTCATCAACAGGCACAGTACAAACAGAGTAGATCCTAAAGCCCAGAGATTTAGGCCCCAACAGGGCTCTAATACTGGTGCAAAAAATAAGTGGGAGACAAAAACAGGCCTCATTAATAAACAAAGCAAAGGAAAAGTCAGAATTTCTTACTTTTTATCTAAGCTAGCAAGTTAAATATTTTCTTCATCTCTTACATGATTGAGAAACAAGGAAAAAAGATTTCATTGCACCTCTGAAGAACAGCAGGTTTTGCTCAGCAAAACTAAGGGAGGTACCTATTCAGTGCAGTTTTACCGCATGCTCATCAATAAAGCATTAGAGCGCTTTCCATGAATGTACTAAGAAGTATCTGTCGTATGTTAATTTGCTCCTGACAGAGAAAAAAAAAATGCATACGTGTGAACACAAGCAAGGAAGTACAGTCATTTGGAGGTTTGGTTAGGGCTCTACTTTAGTATACATATTTCTATATATTAGAAAAGGAAAAGTCAAAACAAACCATCCACGAAGCCTCACTATATTCTTACTCTCATTCATATTTTTATTATCCATACTAATTATTTCCGCTACACATATTGAGATATTTTCTATGCTCAAGATTATCACTAATGCAGAAACTGATGCAAATTCCAATTTTTACTATACTTCATAGTCAACATGAGTGCATTTATCACTGTCCACAGTTTACTAAATAAGGTCAAAAGTCAGCAGTGTTAAGTTCCTCACTCTCTACCATGCACGTATTTCAATACACATCTTGAGCAACATTTGCTCCGACCGCAAACATTGAACAAATTTGAAATGCTTTGCCCTGTTATTTGAAAGACTGAATTAAAATCCATCTCCTTAGCAGGGAAAGAAGATGACTTCTGCCAAGAAACTGCCTTCAAGTCCGTACACTGAGCAAAACCGATCTCCTCATCTGCCTCTCTGCACAAATCCTGGCAATCCGGTGTTTTCCTGTATGCTGGACCCCAAAAGAGTCATGACCAATGGTTCTTTGACAAAGCCTCAGGTTTTACTGTTTAAAACAACTTCAAGTGAGTATGGTGCTATACCACCTATCTCACAGATGGTACCCTGTACTTATCACCCAGTGGATCAAACCTTTTCAAAACACTTACTCACTTGTGGATCATTTCAAGATAGTTATTTAAACACTGCCATTGACAGAAGTAGGGTATATGACTACCCCAATTTACAGCATACTCTGTAAAAATGCATCTCCATCTTTTTGTCACAGACTTAGACTAGAAACTTAGCTTTAAGAAAACAAATCTGACTGTTACTTCAGTCATTCTGGGAATAACTGTCAATATCTGATTTATTTGGGGTTTGCTGGGTTGAATAAGATGTATCAAAAAGGATGTAGCCCATTTGATGATACACTTCTCTCAATCAGACCTAAACCCATAAAAATAAAACTGTCGAAACTGGTATCATAAATGTGGAACTCTAATTTTATAGAAAGAGTTAAGTGCAGAAGACATTGACCTGAAGGTTTCTTTGTTTTAATTAAAGTATTTTCTGGTTTTAAAACTTAAAAGTCAGTCTCCACATTCCTACATCTCAGGCCACTAATACCAACATAATGCATATATGACTTCGATATGGTATACGCACCGTCAGCTCAGGTATTGAAGTCAGAAGTTTAATATCCATTTGCTCCCAATAAAATCAGATGAAACAGGCAGATATTTTTCACGCTACCAAGCACATTCGCTTCCCTAACCTTTAAAGAGGGCACCATTTCTATTTCATAGCAGTAGAAAAAGGTGCCTGTCTACATCAAAAATAGCCTTGAGCAGCTATAACAAATCACTACCATACAAACAGCCTATACAGATTGTTCTAACAGGCTCTGGAACTAAAACAGAAACTGAGGAACTTAGCACCAGCGTCTGCCTCTTTGCATTTTCTTTTTCCCACGGCCAGTGTCTCTCCTCCTTAGCCCCCACCTCCCCTCAGAAAATAGCCGTATTTTGGCAAGTATACCATTACACTCAACTGAGGCACTAAAGCTCCTGCACTGCCCTCCTTCCAACTGCTATAAATAAAGTATTCTCACCCCCCTCCACTGCAGTGCAGTAGGTACCTGTAGGAAAGAAGGAACAGCAGCTACCCCAGACATTTCTGACCCACCTCAGCACTCCTCTCAAGGCTCTAAGTAAAGCAACTGGAAGCAACACATGCCACCTCCTCCCTGTTCCAAGAGTATAAAATTTACACAGAATAACATCTATCTGCATAATAAATAGTTTCTTCTAAAGACAGAAATCAGTCATAAATGGTATTCAGGAAACAGACTGGTGTGGAAAATTCAGAAGTCTGCTAAAACTGCTACTGAAAGGAGCATAGTTGAAATGGTCACAATTTGGACAGAATGCCTAACAAAACAGAACCACTTCAAGTCCAGTGTTTCAGGTTGTCACAACTTCAAAGCACAGTGTCGTGTTTCATGTCACTTTACAACACCTGTAACCTCACCAGATGGCCCCTTTTTTGAGAATCTTTAATCACACCAGTATTCCTGAGATATTGGTCAATGTCAACAGAGTACAAATTAAAATACCAGCTCAAGAAAAATATATATTCTCATATAAATAACAATGTTGTGGATTTAGAATATGCTTTACAGCTACACTGTAAGATTACTAATTGTAGTAGGATGGAAGAAGTAAGTCATATTCATCAATAGGACAATTTACCACAGGATTAATTTACCACCACACAACAATACCATGCTACAGGTTTATAATTTTTCCAATTACCTTGTTTGTTCAGCCCAAATAAATGTTTCAAAATAGTCTGAAAATATTCAATGTACATTACTTAATGTTAAAAAGAATGTTCTGCACGACATAAAATCTACCTCTATGCTTCCAGGTGGAGGTTTTCCAAATTGGATGCCCGAATTAGAGTATCTAAATTCACTGCCTTAGTTTCAGATATGCCAAACACCACGAACAATAAGAAAAGAGGAAAACATATAGCCATAACCATAAAACACGTAACTGTTTCAAGCTTTGGTGGAGAACAGAAAGATAAGAAGTTAACAGGTGTTGACTATATGGAGCTACTGAAGTTGTCTGAAAACCCATTGTCTAGATTCAGTAGGTATTTCCAGACAAGTATTTAATTTAGTTATGAGTAACTTTAAATCAAGTACCAAAAGCATGTTTTAATATTTGGCCCACCAATATTTCACAGAGAGCAAAAATGACAACTTTGTATCAAAATTATGTAAAATAGATCTAATCATATTTGTTATAAGACTATACTTTCCAAAAACAGTAATTCATATGTCCAATCTTTTACCAGTTCTGTAGGGGTTCTGAGTGAAACAGAAAAATGCCTAGTTAACAACATATTGAAGAGAACTAAGATTCCTTCCGATGCCCTCAAAAGGCATCCCTCTCAAAAAGTTCCCTTTTTTTTTTTGTTAAGAATCTTGTATTGTTCCTCGAATTAGGTGTCGAATCTTCTCAGCATCTTGTTCTATAGTTTTATTTTTAGGATCAATCTTGAGAGCTGCTTCATAATCCTGGAGACCTAATATAGATACATTAATAAGAATGTCAATCAATAATGCAAGAGTATCCTCTTTAGCAACTAACTGGAAATAACTGCTCCCTAGTAATATGCAAAAAGGATTGATCCTGAGTTTTGCTATTGAGCAAGATGGAATCAGAGTGACATTAGGTTTAACTTTTGTCAGTAAATAAATTTATATTTTGTTTACATTATTTTACAAAACATTTTAGTGGAAACACTCTACTACATAAACATTTTCAGGTATTGAAACATGAAAACAGAGCCTCTTCATTCACACATATATATACGTGCACGTGCATGAGAGAGCTGTTCAAAAGTGTTCTGCAGAAGAGAAAAATTGAATGACAGAACGAAAGTGCATGAAAACAAGAAAAAAAAAGACATGAGCTGTGAATACTAGAGCTTGGGGGGGGGGGGGAAGGAAAACATGAGTACAGGAAGTAAAATAAAATCTTGTTTAGTTGTGTTTTTTGTAAGGTTTCCAAGTGCAAATAAAGCTGTAAGGGAATGACAAAGAGATTCATAGGTAGAAAAAGGTAACCAATGTGAAAAGCTTAGTATTTCAACATTGACATTTTGAGTATTCTTCACTTTCTATTATCAACTTTCACTTGTAAATTTGCCTTACAAAACTAAACTGATACTCTTAGAGAACTCAGTAGGGACACTGTTACTTCAGATATTTTCACACAAACCACATGTACCAGATGAAACATTTTGCTCATCAATATGGGTTTCATACATCATTTTACAAAGATATGTTACTAAGCACTTCACAAGCAAATATTTTAGAAATATGTCAGGTTATTTTAAGTTAATTTGTTCTATAGATGGAAATACTGTAAATATAATCTCAAAACCAATAAAACATTGCTTCATGAACAGCAAAACTAGTGCAACCTAGTTTCATATAGTTTGCATCCTACATTTGAATGCTTCCCAATGCAAATACCTCATCTTTGACCTCTCATTCATTCCTCACTAATACCTTCCATGGCCACCAAGCTGCTATGATCAATAGCTGGCCATTATACACAGAAAGACTGATTACCCAATAGACCAAACAGAGGATACACAACTCGCTGAAGCCTTTTCCTCAATGGAGAAACTAATTTGTACTCCTTAAATTAGGAGTACAATCAATTTCCTTAAAACTTGTAAAGATTTTTCAAGTGGAATTGCAATTAGCCAGCAAATAAAAAATAAAAAAAAAAAAAATTAAGGACTGTTGTATAAAGGTTCATAACAAAAACAGACATAGATTGTATAGGCCTGCTTTAACGTCCCTCCTGAAAAAATGAAGGTGCGAGCAGTCTCATTGAGCTAAACAGAATTACTTGCATGTCACTATAAATCCATGTGCATGTTTTCACAAAATCAAGGTCTCACCTTCAGTATATAATTCCAGCTGACAAAATGCTGTTCCACGTCTCACATATGCTTTTACTCGAGCATGCTCGTTATGAGGAACGGGTGGTGTCAGCAGGTCTAGTGCCTTTACAAATGAAAACATTCAAAATATTTAGAGGTAGATTTTCCATAATTTGGGGTTTTTTTCTCATTTACACACACTTCTCTCACCTAAGTACTATTATTATACAGTAACAAAATAACTAGTCAAACAGAAATAGAAAATAACTATTCAAATTTAACTATATGGCTTGTGAATCTAGTCATTAAGATTTGTATCTATCACCCCACAGTTTGCTAAATACAGTTTCATTGTCATGGCTAAAAAATGACAAATACTGTGTTAAATGTTTATTACAGTCAACTAATGTATTCTATTGTCATACATGAAATTACATACCATGCTACCAAAAAAAAAAAAGTACAGCCCTAAAGAAGCACATGTGTTACTGTAGCAGTATTTACTAGAAAAAACGAATTTCAAGCCTCAAGTACTTATTAGTTCAAAAAATAATAATTCTGGGACAACTTTCTCCAAATAATTCAGGTGCCATTTGAGATCACGCCTCTCATTGCACAAATAATGGCTGCTAAAACATCGAGATGATACAGCCCTTCTTTAAAAATGTCTGGTTTGTTGGGTTTTTTTTAAGGTATCCTCCTCATCACCACCACCTTTTTTTTTTTCTTCCCAACAAATGAAGAACACCACAACATAATAGAAAAGGTATCTGTGTATATTTTAATTTTTTTCTGCTCAAAGGTGTCTTTTTTTTCAAGTGTATATATTGCTACAATATTTTACCTGTAAAGAAACATGTACTGAGTCAATATAGGGCCATTCGGCCGAAATGTGTGGAAGCATGGTTTGGGTTTTTTTTTGTTGTTGTTTTGTTTTAAATTTCTCAAAGTTCATTAATCAATCACTATTAAATTTTAATATTTCACCATGGCTTCATTATATCAAGTTTGAATTTAAAAATTTTGAATCGCACTAATAAGTATTTATAGATCTGCTTGAAACATCACAGTAATAAATCACAATCACGTGTAAGACAACAGTCCAAGAACCTATATATTTATACCTTAGAGGAATCTTCAATAGCTTTATGTAAATTTCTCAGTTTAAGGTGGCAAGCAGCACGATTCAGGTACAGTAGGGGAAGCTTATTGTTTAGCCGCACTGCGAGGTTATATGCATTAACAGCTGCAAGATAGTTTCCCATTGCAAACATTTTGCTAAGTATAAAACAAAAAGTGAAACATGCACTTTAAACACGGTGATACATCACAAAATAAATACCTACTTATTGTTAACAATTAATTTTCAAAAATTTGAAGTTTTAGCAGCTTTTCCTTGGAAATGGCCATTTATAGCCTTTCCTGAGAACAACATCGCTGAAGTTCAGTCAAACTTGATGCTGACAGTATAGCATATAGACATATAACTCAACAAAAATAGTCACTGCTTAAAAGCAGTGAAAAACAGTAAGAGGTGGACACATCTATGCAGACACAGGACTAATTTCGAAAGCTGTGTATCTGATTATGATTGCCTAATCAAACCTTTCTGCACAACACAGCTATATAAACATACCAGTATTTTTATCAAATTCCTAAAGTTTGTTCTAGACAGATGTTTAACCTCTCAACAAAAAGTACAAATGAAAGGAAATCCACCTAGGTATAATACTGCACTGACTTAACTGTCCTCATAGAATAATATGCATTATGTGTTCACAATTATTTTGTTCATCATGAGTTTCAGCAATTGCATCTCATGACTTTATCAGATTAAAACCCCATAAGCTGTCAATAAATTCTCTACTATGTAGACGTTCACCATCTCTGTCTAGGATAAATAGAAAATATCAAAACTAAACAATAGACACACACTGTATAACTAGTATTTCATTTTAAA